CTAAATCGAAAGTAGATGTTCCGGAATCGTCCGTTACCATCGACCAAACAAATATCGAACCCTTTCAACAAAATGAAATGGAAGGCTAACACAATGTCATCTAAGTTGATAATGATCAAAGCTAGTCATTGATTGATCCAACTTGAGTGTTACTAGATTTAGAAGAGGGTGAAATTAATCTAAAGAATGAAGATGAGTTTAAAATACATGTTGAGGAAGACTTAGATGAAGAATGTGACAATAATGACCATGATACTAATTAGTGATATGGTAGATCTTATTAGATTATGTAATATTTTTTTATATTCTATTGACAAATTGTCCACATGGATTTTATGTAATTACGAGTAGCAAATCAAGGGTTTATGCAACCTTGTCCTCCCGAGTTATTAGGCTAGGTTGGTTTTATCCCCTCATGTAATTTTTCACATGATTTCAATATATCTATAAGGTACCGTCCTTGTTACGTCAAAAAAATATGTAGATATATGGTTTTATTGGCCTACATAATTTACATCTATTTTTTAACGTAATATATTTCAAATTATTCATATTAATTTGAATGTTATATGTTAGTACGTATTATATAAGGAATATTTGATTTCAATACTAATGAATGTAATAATGTGTAAGTCATAATGACTTGAGGTAGGGGACGTTCTAGGATGTATTGGCTCATGTCATAGGTGAGGGTTGCGGTTCGGATATCGAGTCGAGCAGTGATCGTGGACTTGGACACCATTCTCATTCTACTCCCGGTTGGATGAGTCCCCACATAGACATGCCTTCATAGCACTCTTCTATTGGCCCTCCCGATATATCGTTCAAGTCCCGACATGTCTCGACCTCAATCATATCCTTATTATGGACTTTCATGTCCTCCTTCATCTTTTCCTTCGTCATCGTCAATGCCCTCTCATCACAATAAGACAACTTGTTTTGCTCCCGAACACATCTCGTCACAAAACGTCCCATATCCATTGGCTTCGAAACCTATCACATCCATGGTGGATCCGTGAGTTAGGTTCATTGTCGTTGGTCACAATGAGTAAGTTTTATGCTAAATTTTATGACATATGTTTTTATTATCGTTATTATGTATTTATTTATTAATTAATTTAATTATTATCTATTTTCGTAGGTCGTTTACCTTTGATGTTTGCTCTTGCATGATCTTTAAGACATTCTAGGAGTATGTTCATATTTTCGGATGGACGTAGAAGAAAATGAGTCCGGAGGCAAAAGACTTCTACTCGGAAAGAGTTTAAGGTACTAATTTTTTTAATTAATTTATTACATTATTTCGTATTTAAACAACACATAATAATATCCAAATAAATTTAGTAATGAATATTATTATTTTTCTTATAGAAATCATTTATGTGGGATGACGATATGAACGAGAGCACGATTAAGAAAGCATTAGAAAGTCTCGCATGAAATCGATATTTCGACTTTCTTTGTCGTCTCGAAAAAAATCGAAGCCGGCATGTATCTCACAGAAATATGAGATGCATGGACTACGTAATGGATAAAACCCGAAGCCGTTACCCAATCCGAGATGGCGGTATGAAACCACGAAGCAAGGTCGCTTGGTGTCGAGTTGGTCCTTCAAGACATATGGGAGGATCGATCGATCATAGAAAGCACACAATACGCTTGGTAAATATATATATATATATATATATATATATACAATGATATCCAAAATAATTAATTAAATATTTGAGTATATTTAATACATTTACGTATATTAATGGTTTCGACATGATATGTTGGGTTGTGAACCCGATCCTCACGAGGTTTTCTTAAGGACTCATTAGAGAAAGGTTGATGATCGGTTTGTCTTCATCGATCAACGATCAACACTTATCGATGTAAGTTATTAGTTTATAACGTTATTTCATACATATTAATTTATAACGTTATTTCACATACCTATTTAATATTATGTGTTTCACAATTATGTAGAAGACCGTGCAAAGATTAATAAATAAGAAAGAGGTTGCTAGCCGACAATCGGGAGGGACTCGCATCGACCGAGCCAACATTAATGAGATTTTTAGGAAAGTCATTGGTGGAGGAGATAGCAAGAGGAAGATGATGTACGGACTCGGATCATACGCATCTCGATATTACTCGTAATGGCAATATAGCCTTAAGCTCGGTAACTTCGTGATTCAATACCGCCGATAAGGCACAACTTAAGGAAGTCCATGATCAAACATCCGCAAATGCGACGGATATACATAACCTATGGGGTACTATCATAACTCTAGAAGGTATTGTCATATCGTTGTTGGCTACAACAAATGAGTTGAAGAAGTACAATGGATAGCAAATTACAATGATATCACGGATGCAACAAATGTTCATGTAGCATTTTTAATAAGGTGGTAGTTCATCCGTCGTGCCCGAGACCGATGATGACTCCACACAACCTCTAAGTAATTACGACGGACTTACGAATTTTTTTTTCACTCGTTGTAAATATTCTCTTGTTTTACTATCATATTTAGCAATAGTTTTTTATTTTTTACGATGGTTTAATCCGTCATAAAATTGGCAACGATCCAAAAATCACCGTAAAAAATTTAACGACTCGCATTTAAGCAAGGGTCTTTGGACCGTCGCTAAATCATTTTATTGAAGATTTTTCTGAATTAGCGATGATGTAGACCGTCGCTAATTGAATTGATTTTTGTAGTGGATGTTGTACCATTTGGTCCAACAGACATTTTTAGCCAACCGTTTCCACTCCATCTCCATAGCTTTTCCCCTCATTTTCTCACCCTTCTCTCCCTCCATAAGCTTTTTCATAAGCATCTTCACTTCTTCCCCTTTAACTTTGTTGTCAATCTCCATACCAATTCCCCATTCATTGCAACTAAATTTGGAGTTCATTGGTTGGTCGACAAAGAATAGCCAACACAATATCGAGAAACCAAGACTCATGCTCTTAATAGTCGAACCCCAACCGCAATGAGGTAGAAACCCTCCAACTCGCTGGATGGTTTAGCACTTCTTCTTGTGGACACCAACTAGTAATAAAGCCATGTTTTTTAGTTTCCTCTTCAAATTCAGCTTGTTAAAACAATTGAATTCACCGATGACCAAATCTAGCCTCATAGTCCATAAAAATGAGATCTTGCTATCAATTAGTCCCATTGCAAATTCCATTAGTTGATCAACTCTCATCACCGTTATGCTTCCATAATTCATATATACCATTGAGTTAGGCTCCTTTGTGTCTAACCATTTGAGACACTCATTGTCTTCATTCCACAAGTCGTATCCAATGGACTTTAAAATATTTTCTTCAAATTGATTAAGGAGTAACTGGAGTGGACCGATGGAAAAAACACGAGAGAATATAGTGGAAAAGGCATCCAAAACTTCTTTCTCCAATGCATCAAAAGTATGAAAAGCAATTGCGCGAGCTTTATCGAGGTTTCGGCAGCTCCAATTACAAAGTTAAATACAACTTCATTTGGATCTGTTGTGTGAATAAATGGAAAATATTTAAGACGAACATCCTTAATACCGGGAATCTAGTCTTTAGTTGTGTCGAGATACCCGTTACTTAGATCGCCCACTTCGCAAAATACAATCTTATTAGTTTGTGCTCAAGAATATATGAAAATTTATTGCATACGATTATTGAATTATGTTTTGTCCGAACATTCAAAGCTCATTAAATTTTTTTGACAAAAGAATTTTATATCAAATTTGCATCTACATGTATTATTAGAATATATATCTCATATTAAATAGTTAAAATAAAAATAATAAAAATAATTATATAATATTATACCGGTCATCACAAATATAACAAGGTACGTTCAAGTAAAACTTGTTGTTCATATGTTAATCTTCTATAATCATTTTTAATGAACTTGCAAGGAAAAGCTTCGAAACCGTTAATTATGAATAAATATAAAATTATTTTTTATTCTTATTTAATAATTTAAATTTATAGATTGAGATAGTTTTATTTATATGTTATTATGCATGGGTTTTATATGGCATTGTGCGGTTTGCGTTAGGAAGATATTTGGACGTGGGTTGGGTACCGTGTGCTCGGTGTTTGAGGTAACATGATATTTGGTGGAGGTAGAGCTACCGGTACTATGTCCGACGAATTATTTTCCACTAGTGAACTCCGGTTTGATAGCGTAAATGGAAACATCCGTTTATTAAATAAGATATGGCATGAGCTATGTAACTTTTTAGTTGACAAATCATAACACAAGTAATCTTTAAAGACTTTCCTATATCCCAAAAAACACAAGCAAAATATCCGGGTGCTAATTTATGATGAGATATGATCTTAATCACGGATAACATAAGCAATCAAAATTTTTTAACCGATCATAGGGAAAGGTGAAGGGTGTTACCAAAAAGAGTAGAATAAGGAGAATGGTTATGTAGTTGGGGTGTGGGAAGGCAATTAATAGTGTAAATGACAGTCGCAAAGGCATAAGTCCAAAAGTGTAAAGGGATAGAAGCATGGTGGAGTAGGGTTAAGCCTATTTTTACTACGTGGCGATGTTTTCTTTCTCATTTTGTTTGGGTAGTTTAAGAAAGACAAGTCTTTAAGAAATTCCATTCTCATTCAAGTATTTGATTAGGGCTTGGTATTCCCATTTCCAATCTGATTGAAACTACTTTATAGGTTTATCAAAAAAATTTTGATAGTGTGTTTGAATTTTATAAAGTAGTTAAGGAATTTTGATTTATGACGAAAAAAATAACCAACAATACTTACTATAATGATCATAAAATAGAACATAATATAAATAACCATCTATAGATTAGACAAGAGATGTTCCCTAGAGGTCATAACATATTAATTCTAACAGAGCCTTAGCTTTATAATTTGATAAAGAAAAAGGTAATTTATGAATTTTAATGACAAAACAAGTATGACATAATGAAGTACTAGTGGACAAAGGAACAATAAATTTGGAATTCTTTAAAGCTTGATGAATAGTTTTGAATCAAGCATGCCCAAGGTGAGCATGCCAAGTTTCTCTTGTAGCACTATGAGCTTGAATTGGAGATGAATGACCCAAGCCATGGTCCAAGGAGAATTTGTAGAGGCCTTTGTCAAGAGTTCCGACATGCAGAATTTCTTGAGAATCCAAGTCCTTGATGAAGAATTTGTCAGAAAAAATTCTATAGAACAAGAGTTACTATGTGTGAAGTTGCTCACAGAAAGTAAGTTTTGTGTACTAAAAGGAACATGCAAAACATTATTAAGAAAAAAAACACGATTATGCAGTTTAAAAAAGATAGAACCAACATGAGATATAGGAATGGGTTTACCATAGATTAAGTGTACTTCTTCAGGGCCATTGTACTCATTATGAATAGCAAGGTTGTCCAGTTATGCTGTCAAATGGTGAGTAACACCAGTGTCCATAATCCATGGTTGAGTAAGAGAGTGTGAGTATGCAAGGTTTGAGGTCGGTTTGGGCAAGCTTCTGGTGGAGCGTGATCTGGGTGAGGGGTAGACATTTGCAAGGTGTCCCGTCCCATTGCAGTTATAACAGGTGACGTTACTGGAGTCAGGCAGCATATGGGGAGAAAAGTTGTTCCCTTAGCGTGAACTGAGGGAAACAAGTCTTGTACCAGGGCGATCTCTACCACGCTGAGAGGAGTGATGTTGGGCATAGTGGACTGTCACAGGATTTTCTACTGGTTTGATGCTCTCTTATAGCTAGAGTTCTTCACTAAGAGTAAGCCCGTATAACATTTCATAAGTGACTAGTTCATGCCTTGATTCAATATAACGAACGAAGGTCTGTAATGAGACGTGAAACCACGCAATAGTGCTTGAACTAGATCATCCTCAGGTACGGCCAAGCCAAGGGATTGGAGGGTATCAAAAATTCCTTTTCCTCATTGAAAGAACTGAGGGATGTCTCGTTGGTTCGCTGATTGAGTCTGTAAAGACTTCCTTTAAGGTGGTTGATCTGCGTTCTTATTCCAGAGCCACACGCAACGGTGAGCTTGCTCCAGGTAGCTTGAGCAGTGATGGCGCCAACCACCAAGGGGTGTATTGTTTCTGAGAGGGAGCCAATGATCTAGGTGAGAACCAGCTAGTCATTGCGTTCCCATTGCATAAATATGGAGTTTGGTTCACCATTGATGGTGCAGGGGGGTTGCTGCTGATAGCCATCTACGTGATGTTGTAGTCCATGGCAACGTAGCAGGGGCTGGAACTGTGTTTTCCAGAGAATGAAATTTGTGTTTGTGAGTTTGAGAAGAAAATGAGTGTTTAGGATAGGGAGAGAAGATGTAGGCATGGGGGGTGAACTTGTGGAAGGGGATGCTAGAAAAGAGGCTGAAGTTTTTTCTGTTTCAGCCATGTGGATATACGGGAAGACAAAAAAAAAAAAAAAAAAAGACTGTTAGGTCATTATATTGGCTCTGATACCATGGTAAACTTATATTTCTCTGTGATCTTTATAAATATTACAGCACTATATATATACAAGTATACCTGTAGTGATAAGCATGGGAACTGGAGTAACGGGATATAACTCTATCCTTATCACTAAGATAACAGACTACACTACAACTCTATCACTATTACTCTTATCTTTATCAGTCAGGATCGAGGTTTGATTCTTCTCTTCACTTGCTAGTGAATTCTCTTTTATATATATATATATATAATTCTGTATGTTAATTTTTTGTCCTCTAATTCTGCTGTTAAAATATCCTGTTAAGACTACTAAAAAAAGGAGATACATTAGCGAAAAACATTTACGTACTACATGCCTTTTTTAATGCGAACCTTTGATTGGTGTGAAGGCCTTCTCTCTAAGAGCATAAAGTTGTTTGAATCCCATGAAGCCACACGCACTCTTAGTACAATACATTACAACTGGAAGACCAAATTCTTCCCCAGCTTTGATGGAGAATAGAGCAAAAGGATCTGAAACAATGCAAGTAAGTGGAGGATTGTTCTCGGACACGGTATTTTTGAGTTTTATAAGATCTTTCAAGGGTGCTAAGAAATGTTTGTTCATGGCATCACAGAGAAGAGGTATCTCTTGGGTGGCATCAATATCTGAAGGAGGGCGACCGTCAGGAATGGTTTCAAAACGGAATCCAGGCAAATCATCAAGGGCATTAGATCCTCTTGACCTAAGGAAACGTTTGTGATTGAATTCTGTGTTGACAAAGGTGATGTGAAGACCTTTGTAGTGAAGAAGCTTCCCAAATTTGAGCATGGTCTTAATATGACCTTGAAGTGGACATGGGATCACAAGAACATGAGGCTTTGAAATGGATCCCATATCTCTCACCTTCTTCTTCTCTCTTACTACCTAGCTTACTTCAATCTCAATATTGAACCTGATCTCTTATTTATACCCATCAATGCTTGTTTTCTAGTTCCAAATTTTGGATCTTTCTTTGCATCTTTATCAATGTCATGTTTCACATGGTCATTGTCTTTGGACACGTACACTTCTCCCAGTGCACGGTTTTAATTCGATCTTATGCTGTAATCAACAGTGATTTAATTTCTACAATCTATAAAACCTTATAAGCAAAATATAGCTGTGACAAATTTTATTATTAATGAGTAGTTAATAAAACTTATTCCGTAGAAGAAAAATAACACAAATAAAAAATATATATCAAGGTAATTTGTTGACCAGTCTCATAACACGTAAACTCTAGCAATTTATTATTTTTATACTTTGCAATTTTTTTTTATATATAGTTCTACGTTTTACAATTTTTCTTACATTTTTTTGTAGTTTATTAGGTTTTTCTATCTCAAAACCTTAACCAATATGTTCAATTAAATCTTCTTGATTTGCTAAGGTTTTCTTAGAACTCTAATCCTTTATTTTCTTTTTTCTCTTTCTTTTCTTTTTTTATTTAATTAAAATTAGAGGATAATCCTAAAAATTTATAAAAATACTTAAAAATCATGAAAAATTAAGAAACTATTCAACATTTAATTTTTTTGAATTTTTCATTAAAAAAAATATTATGAAGGTTTAACTATATCCCTAATCGGATGTTATTTAATCCTCACATCTCATATCGTTTTTCAATTTGATCCCGAATCATTTTTTCAAATTATTTCCCTTTTCTCTTTCTTTCTTTTTTTATTTAATAAAAATTAAAGAATAATCTTAAAAAATTACAAAAATAATTAAAATTATGAAAAAATTAAAAAACTACTTGACATATAATTTTTTGAATTTTGTATAAAAAAATTTATAAAAGGTAAAAATGGGTTGTCATAGCGTAAATCTCATTTTATGATCCCATAGTTAGCCATAAAGTGTAGATATTTTTATGCAAGTTTGATGCTTTTTTTATTCAAAAGCTAGCTTTTTAAAAACCAGTTTCGAGAATAGTTCGAATGACTAAACGTAGCCTATATATTATATCTTCAAAATGACAAATATTGACAAGTAATGCCTATTTACGGACACTGTCTGGCTGGACGACACGTGCAAAATGGACAAGTTAGGACTTGGAAGAGAGTTCCCTTATCTCAGTTCAAGCGTGAAAATTCAAGGTCAGTCTCAACCACCGCTGGTCGTGACAGCCGTCACCTAGCATTTAGTGGGTATGCGAAAGATAAATGTTACTTGCAAATTATCAAACACCTAAGATACCTATGCAGATATGGAAAGAATTTCATGGTGCGCAGGAGATGGAACGATGGATATGAAATGTTGGCTTTATTGAATTGGTAAGAGCAAGTACAAAATTAATGACCTAATCATCGACAGTCAAAATAAAAGGTTCCAAAAGCTGGCAAACTACTTTATTTATTTATTTATTATTACTTGCCAAGACAGGTTCCAACTTGTTTGGCAAGTGGAGCAATTATTGCGATATTTAATTCCAATCAAACAAAAAAGAGAGCCATGCATTTTTCTTTTGTTTTCTTTTTTCCATCGCCAGCAATCAAGTCTTATCATCGTATCATTCCTTCGTGACCACATGATAAAAGAAGCCATAGTTTGTTTGCAATAGTGTTTGATGCGCATAAGAGACAGGACAAAGTGCATTTTTTTGTCCTTTTTTTGGTCTAACTTCTATTTCATTTTCCATGAAATAATCTTGTTTCGTTTAATCCCTTTCTTCATCAAAGGCCTGCCAAGCTTGAACGTCTAAATGTTTGAGCAGAGTATTTCATTTATGAACTTGTCCAAATTAATGGTTGAAGTACCGGTTGGTCCAACAGCCTCCTCAGCCAACCTTCTACACTTCGTAACTTTTTCCTTCATTCTCTCACCCTTCTCTCCTTCTATTAGCTCTTTCACAAGCTTCTCCACCGTATCCCTTTTAACATTGCCGTCAATCTCCATACCAACTCCCCATTCATTGCAACTATACCTACAGTTCATTGCTTGATCAGCAAAGAAAGGCCAACACAGCATTGGCACACCAGCCTGCAAGCTCTCAATGGTTGAACCCCAACCGCTATGAGTTAGAAACCCTCCAACTGCTGGATGGTTAAGTACTTCCTCCTGTGGACACCAACTGGTAATAAATCCACGTTTTTTAGTTTCCTCGGCAAATTCAGCAGGTAGAGAAGTTGATTCACCGATGACCAAATCTGGCCTTATAATCCACAAGAACGTGATCTTGCTATGAATTAGTCCCATCGCAAACTCCAGTAGCTGATCTGCTGTTATCACTGTTATGCTTCCATAATTCACATACACCACTGAGTTGGGCTCCTTTGTGTCCAACCATTTAAGACACTCGCTGTCCTCTTTCCATAGATTGTATCCAATAGACTTCAGACGACCATTTTCTTCAATTTGATTGAGGAGTAACTGGAGTGGACCAATGGAATAAACACGAGGGAAAATAGCGGAAAGGCCATCCAAAACTTCCGGCTCCAATGCTTCATAAGTATGAAAAGCAATTGCACGAGCTTTAACGGAAGTTTCAGCAACTCCCATTACAAAGTTAAATACAATATCATCTGGATCTGTTGTTTGAATAAATGGAAAATCTTTAAGACGAACGTCTTTCATACCAGGAACCCAGTCTACATTTGTATCAAGATAGCCATTGCTTAGATTGTTTAAATCTGCAAAACACAATTTGAAAAGTATCAGAAAATAATATATTTTAAAATTCTATCCAACACTATGAATTAGAAAAACATAATTTTTAATGCGAACCTTTGATTGGGGAGAAGCCTTTCTCTCTGAGAGCATAGAGTTGTTTGAATCCCATGTAGCCACATGCACCCATAGTACAATACATTACAACTGGAAGACTAACGTCTTCCCCAGCTTTGATGGAGAATGGAGCAAAAGGATCTGAAACAATACAAGTAATTGGAGGATTGTTCTCGGACACGGTATTTTTGAGTTTTACAAGAAGATCTTTCAAGGGTGCTAAGAAATGTTCGTTCATGGCATCACAAAGAAGAGGTATATCTTGGGAGGCATCAATATCGGAAGGAGGGAGACCATCAGGAATGGTTTCAAAACGAAAGCCAGGCAAATCATCAAGGGCATTAGATCCTCTTGACCTAAGGAAACGTTTGTGATTGAATTCTGTGTTGACAAAGGTGATGTGAAAACCTTTGTAGTGAAGAAGCTTCGCAAATTTGAGCATGGTCTTAATATGACCTTGAAGTGGACATGGTATCACAACAACATGAGGCTTGGAAATGGATCCCATATCTCTCACCTTTTTCTCTCTTACTACCTAGCTTACTTCAATCCCAATATCGAACGTGATCTCTTTATTTATAGCCACAAACGCTTGTTTTCTAGTACCTCCAAAATGCAGGATTTGGTTCAATATTATGCACTAATTAATCAATGATGTAATTACTATAATATATTAAATCTTCCTGGCAAAGTTAGCAGGTGGCATGCGGCGCATCATTGCCGTGTCTGAAACGTATGATTGCCCCTGTTCTACTAGTAGTATGAACAAATAAAAAACTTACTTGACCCGATTGTTTCTTATTAAAAAATCATTGTTCACTTAATGATTTAGGTTCTGATACCAACGAAAGTTACTTTATATCTACCGGATCCATGGAGAGTTGTGTTTTCAAATTCAACGGAAGAATATTGATAAGAGTTAATTTCGATTAATGTATAAAAAACTTAGTTGCCCCAATTATTTCTTATAAAAAATCATTATCCACATAAAGATCTAGGTTCCGATGCCAAAGAAAGTTAATTTATAAAACAAAAAAATATATATACATATAAAATTCAATAGTTTACATATTTTTTAGCCAATTTCATGCAACAAAAAGGACTGAATCCGGTGGCCCCCTTTGCTCCTTTTTCTCTTTTTTATTTCTCATTCAACGACCCCGTATCTTTTTAGATCTTCTTCTAGATCTTATGTTTTTTGGTTTTGTGGTTGCCATGGCAAGTTCTCCAGTGAGCTCTTTACCATCGCCTCCATCGTACCCACTGTATCCGCTTCGCTCACTTTTAAATCTTTTTAGATCTTCTTTTAAATTTTACTAGTCGGATATACCGAATATATTGTAAACAGATAATCGTTATATATATATATATATATATAAAGATTAATGATTTATATGGTATAATATCAATAAAAATTTTTATCTTTTATTATTAATATAAATCGAATATATATATATCTAATTTTTAATAAAACTATATATACATAAAAGATTGAGAGTATATAAAATAAATAAATAAATATATAAAAAAACTCACCTAAATTACATAATTATATTAAAGTCAATAGATTAAAATAAAAAATACAATAAAATTGGTTCTCATAAATTTTGAATAAATATATATATATAAGCAAATAAAACTTGTGAATTTTTTAACTCATTATTTTTTAAAAAAAAATTGAGTCAAACTATCTAAAACATATTTTTGGCTCTCTCTCTCTCTCTCTCTCTCTCTCTCTCTCTCTCTATATATATATATATATATATATATATATATATATAAAAAAATAAAACACTCATTTAAAAAAATAAAAATAATTTATTGTATAAATTATAATAATATATTTTAAAAAAATAAACATTGACGTTGTAAAATTTTATCCCAAAATTTATATATTAAAAAAATCTAATTTATTAACAAATAAAATTATATCAAAAAATTATCAACCATTACAAATTTGCAATAAAATCAAAAATTAAAAATGTTTCAAAATGGTCATTGTAACCTAAAAATATGTGTTGTTAATTATGAGCCATATATATATATATATATATATATATATATATATATATATGAAAAAAAAAAAAAAAGGAAGAGGAAGGAAAAAATGCCAACATGGGGCACTAAAGCTTGGATATATGAAGGAAAAAAAAAAAAAAAAGAGGCGACCGGGTTAGGCGGCTCCAGCTTGGCGCTTGTGTGCCCGAGAGTCAGGCCTTGGTTGTTGGTCAACCCAACGAAAAAAAAAAACAAACAAAAGAAAACAAAAGAACCGAGGGTAATTTTCATTACTCGTTCACTTATCGTGGACATACCCTAATTCTTGTAGTTTCTTTAGAATGGTTTTTAGTTTTGCGATTGCCTTGGTAAGTTCTCCAATGAGCTCTCTACCATCGCCTCTATCATACCCATCATATCCACTTCGATCGCTACTATGGTCACTCGTCTCGTCCTCTCTAATAGCCACCACCGGTAATGCTTTTGTCGGCTCCACCTCTGTCGGCCTTCCATAGTTGCTCCAAACGGCATCGACCCTACATCCTCCAACGAATTACTCGACTTCGTGGGGTTGGGTTTTTTGGTCGTTTGGTTTTTTTATTTTATTATTATTATTATTATAGGTTTTTCATTTTAGGTTGTTGTTTGTTTGATTGTGTTGTACTCGTCTCTTATTTGTTAAGAGTTGTGTTTGTCTTTCGTTTGTCGAAAGTTTTTTTATTTTGTCATGGCTCGATTAGTCCGGTTAGTTATGTCCTACATTGTTAAGCTTCAAAAGATCTTTAAAAGTGTTATTGGTCATAGGACTCCATCAATACAACTACGAGTATCCCATCTCCTCTACAACCTATAAGTCAAAGGTTGTTCGATGTTCAATGGAACATTGGAGATCCGCAAATCAAGTCGCTCTAACTAGGATAGTTAATTCCGTGTCAAATCTTGATCAGTATAATTTGTATGTTGGGATGTATTCGGTTATTGTATTTTAATGAAATTTTCTCGAGTTTCAAGAAAAAAAAAAGATTGAATCCATATGAACATAGATAAGGAAACCTTTCTAAAACACCTAACCAAAGATATATGTTATGATAATTTGAACCCAAAATGCATCTTTGGAACTCAATTTTTCTACATCCCAAGGTGCTTACTTGATGTTTTTAATTTTTTTCTATATATTTTTCTTCATTCCAATTTGTTTGTTTATTTATTATTTTAAATTATTCCCAAATGTTTATTTAAACACACTATGAGGTATTTATTTTTTTCATTATACTTTTATTAAAACCATATCTATTATGTTTCTTACTTTACATAAAAAAATAAAAAAAATAAACGAAATGATATTATTGAAAAGTTGGAACAATTTTGTATAATTTGGTATATCATATTTATTGTGTTTTTAATCGATATAAAAAGTTAAAAGAAAAAAAAATTAGCCTTAAAAAGAATATTATATTGATTTGTTTTTTTCTATTGTATATAATTAACAACAACTAGTCCACTCCCATTTTTATTTCTTTTTCTTAGGACCTTTATTATTCTCATAAGACACTACTTAGGTACATTAATTATATTTACGTGCTATTTAGTTACCGTAAATAAAAAATTTGAAATGAAAATGTAAAAATTGAAATGAAGATTAGAGAATTAGAATAATATTTTCATTTCAATATTATGTTTGGAATAATAATAAAAATAAAAATTTTAAAACGAATAAAACTAATGATTAAAAAAATAATTTTATCAACTATGATGATAGTAAAAATGATAAAGGTGATTACGGTAGTGATGATAGAAAAAAAGAGGTAGTCTTATTGGTAATGGTGATATAGGATAATAATAATATATTTTTTGTCAACCAACCCTTTATATCCTCACTTCCATGTTTATTGTGTAAGCATCTAGTCGAGTTCATTTAGATCATTGACTTTTTTTGTTATCCCTATCAAATGATAGTCCAAGGTCGTCGAGATTCATTTTCAAAAAATATGAACTTCCCACAATGGCTTTCTCTCTCCTTGTGCATGGGAACTAGACTTCCTTTCATCTGCAATGACCCATTCCTTAATCTTCATCCGAAGTTGAAGGTTTTGAATGGAGCATTAAGAATTTGGAACTAGAGTATTTTTTGTGATATTACTTTTAGGATTAACTAGGCTAAAGATGACTTTATCCATGCAAAGGCTTTGTTACACCATAAATGGATCGAGGAGAATGCCAAGAATACCGATGCGACGAAGAACCACCTAACGAAACTGGTTGAATAGGAGGAACAACTCCTTCAAGAAAAATCCGGAATTAAATGATGGAAACGAGAAGACCAAAATGCTACCTTCTTCCATGCCGATATCTGGAATAAATTTTCCAAATCTAGGTTCCACCTTAATTTAGAAGATAGCATAATCTGTTCAAATAACACTATCATGGCTAACGTAGTTGTAGCCTATTTTTAGAAGATATTTACCGGTGAGTAAACAACTATCACGGACTCTTTTCTTTAAGTTATACCATCCATTATCACTCCGAGCTTAGAATGATAGCTTAATGGCCATCCCTACTATTGAGGAGATTAAAGATGTTGTCTTCTATATGGATGAACAAATTACTCCCGGTCCGAGATGGTTTTATTGGTGAGTTCTACAAGACTCGTTGGGATATCATATGCGAGTGATATGATAAGTGCAATTTAAGGTGTTTTTTAGGGTGGTGTAATTTCGAATAGGGCAACAACTTACAACTATGATCCTCGTTCCCGAGTGTCTTAATCCAACTCACTTATCGGATTTAAGACTTATAAGCTTGTATAGCTTCTCCTATAAGATACTATTTAGAATCCTAAGAAGTTGACTAAGCAAGGTTCTTCCTGCATTGTTTCTCTAGAACGATCTGGTTTTATGAAAGGAAGGACCATTCATGAGAATGTCACCCTAACATAGGAGTTATTCAATAATATTGATAGAAAAGTTATGGAGGGTAACTTAATTTTAAAGGTGGATATGGCTAAAGCATATGATCGACTAGAGTGGAGTTTCCTTATAAAAGTTATGCAACGGAATGTAGATAAGGTAATGTCTCTTCTAAAGGAATATGTTGTTGTTAGTGGATAAACCATCAATATTAGTAAAAGCTTTCTTCTTTATAACACCAAACTTTCAACAAACAGAAAGAATCTCCTTACATCCCGAACGGAATTCAAGCTAACATCAAGAACTTTAATGTATCTAGACATACCTTTTTTAAAGGGTGATCTCATATTGAGTTTTTCACTAACTTAGAATAGAAGATTAAGGATTGTTTGGTAAGGTCGAAAGGAAAACTTCGTCTATTAGAGGAAACCGACACTAATTTACATTGTTTTAAACTCTAGTCCCATTTATGTAATAGGTGTACTTCCAATTCCTAAATCCACTTTATCCAGGATGTAGGAATATATTTTAAATCTTTTTACAATAACGAGTAAAGATAGTAGGCATTACTTGGTTAAGTTGGAAGAAGTTCTCGTTTTCTATGCAAGAAGGTGATCTAGGAGTTAAGGACTTGGGGATAGTTATGCATTCCTTGAAGGGGAAGTCGGCATGCACGTATACCATAAGCTCCTCTTTTGAGTTCTTTTATGAGGTCTAAATATAAAGAACCAACACCGATAGACTCATCAAGCTCTAGAAAAGGGCATTTAGTATGGCATACTCTCCTTCCTCACATTCATTCCCTTATCAATAGTTCCATCCGGGTCATTGGTGTAGGTAATATTAGGTCGTGAAAAGATAAATGGTGTGAGTTTGACTTCCCGATCCCTAATACATCCAACTCTGGACATTATAGTAGCTCAAGCAAAAAGGGATCCTTCATTTACCTAACTTTGTCGTTATAGGTTAAAAAGGAACTGGATTGGTTAAACGTTGATGATAGTACACCGGACTATCTTTGTCTGTCTAGGGTCAAAAATTAGACTCGTTTAAATTGAAAGACTATTATGAAGACCACAAAGACATTGCCCTTAAGTTTCAATGGTGACGCTACTTTATGGAACAAAAGGTCGCCTCGAAAAATTGGAGTCTTTGTATGGCGGTTTCTCTATAATACTTTAGCTATTGATCAAAACACTTATAATTATGATATCTCACTCGGTATCTAAATGCCAATGTTGTAGGAATAGTCATGAAGAAACAAGGAACCACTTATTTTTTCATGGTAAAATAGTGAGTGGGCTTTGGGCTTTTTTTGGTAATATTTTGGACGTGGGTCTTGGTTCCATCATTGTTAGGCAACTAGTGTCAACTTGGCTTCCTAGAGGTAACATTGTTGCTCGAAACCTTTCTCTCAAATGAATGTTTTCAATTGTCTACTATGGGAGTTATGGTTAGCTAGAAATAAAGTTTTTTCTTAGGGGAAGCCATGAACTTTGTGTTAGTCAAACATAAGGTGATGAATTGGCTCAATGAATTTACGTACTTGTTTAGTCCAAGGCATGAAATGTCATTCCATGACGAGCTATGCATTAGAGTCTTAGGCGTATAGGTTTGGACCATCCGTCCTAATAGAGCGGAGTGGATCGGGTGATAGCTCCCCTCCATTAATAAAATTAAAGTTGAACATAAACGAGAGGTTCTAGGGATAATATTTATACCAATGGTGGCATCCTTAAGGATGAGAGAGGAAATCTCATTATGACATTTTTCAAGTCATTTAGAAGGAACAAACTCAAGAGGTGAAGCTTTAGCTCTTTTAAAAGGCTTACTCGTTATATAAGATGCATAATCTCTCCCCTAATATAATAGAAGGTGACTCCACTTTGATATTAGGATGGTTGTCTCGCTCCTTTTCAATTCTTTAGCGCTTAATCTATATTTTTAGAGTTTGTTGGGCAAACATTTCTCTTATAATTACTGTACGAGCACATTCATAAGGAGGGAAATGTGACAACCGACAAGCTTATAGACTAGGCATTTCTCCATCTCACAAGCACGACCATTTTCTCAATCCCTACATTACCCTTCTCTTGTTGCAAGGCGATATAAGATGATAGGATTGGTTTGCACAATTTTTACCCGAGTCTCAACTAGGTCAATTTGACTTTTGTTCTATTTTGGACTTCTAGATTATGATTAGGCTCTTCTTTTTAAGCTCTTCAAGATTTTTTCTATAATTGTTATTTTGTTTTCGGGAATTAGGTCTCTTTATCCTCTCGGCATTTTGGGTTAAGCCAAAATTGTCTCCCTTGTTCCTTTTTCACTTTGCTATTAATATATTTTCGGGATATCGCCTCTATTTTTAAAATAAAAAATAGAATAATAATAATGATAAATATTTTTTAAATTTTTTATCACTATTACTTATGTTTTTGGTAATGAAGGTGTTGTTTGCGGTCCTCTTATAATGAAGGAGTTAGTAATAAAATAATACTAAATATTTTTTAAAAAATTTTTTAGCATCATTACCAATGACAAGTCATCGTGATAGTGGAAGAGTTACTAATGGAGGTTATACTAGTAGTAAAATTAGTTAATACAAAATAAATAAAAGTAATAAATTTCAT